CGGTTTAAGTTTTAGTTTCAGCAATGACGGCCTCCTTGCAAAACATAGTGCTAGTGTTTAATAGTGTTAAATCCAATGCAAGCTAGCATGTAGGTGTCCCCTACCAATATTGACTAGTTTATTATCACACCACACCTAAATACCATTTGCAAAGCAGTGATTAGGTATAATTTAGAAAAATTAAGAAAATCATTTTGATAAAAAAAAAAAAATAATAAAAAAAAAATTCCCTACCTACCTACCCTAATTTTTTTGGAAGTGTAACCGGAACCACACATATTTTTTTTGTTTGGCCTTAACAGTGCTGCGTTATACATATGATACTTATGTATAGATTTTTGTATGCAAAGAAACATGTAATTATAACCTTCATGTAATTAAAAGTAAGAAATGCCCTTTCAGTACTTTGATTTTTTAAATGCAAAACGAAAGTAGCTGAAATCTACAAAACGGGTGATCTGATTTCAAAATAAATTATATATTTGGTTCTTGTGGACCTATCTCTATTACACCTTAAAATACCTTCAAAATATATTGAAAAGCAAAAAAGTCGAAAATTGTCCGAAACAAAAATTCACTTCCGGTTCAGACAGGAAGTACCGGAAACAAACATAAATCACGTAGAAACAAAGAGAATATCATGATCTAATACTCCTGTAAATTTCACATCTTTATCTCAAACCGCTTCTGAGAAAAACACCAGACAAAAATGCATTTTATAATTTGAAATACGGCCATAACTTCGGACCGGAAGTGAATTTTTCAAAAAACGGAATTTTATATAAACTTCACATATCAACCTATTATCCAGTGAAAAATTGCTAAAATCTATTGAAACACCTCTGAGTAATCGCGCTCACAAAATTTGGGAGAAATAATAATAATAATAAAAAGAAACAATACAATCACTATAGGTCTTCCGTTGTGAACGGAAGACCTTAAAATGGCTTGATGCTGACCTGAGAAAAATGCGAGCAAGAGTTGTTGCTGAGGGTAAACTTTATTCTAAATTCCCGAAGGACCCTTTTATCAGAGGACATTATTATAAGTTATACAGGGAGTACAATAAACTAAGGAAAATGAAATATAGGAAATTTAGAAGTGATATTATAAATAGACTAGACTCTCTGCACATAAATGACCCCAAACAATACTGGAAACTAGTAAATGATCCAAGGACAGAAAAAGCTGACTCAACTCACTATTCAGTTGAACCTAACAAATGGATAAATCATTTTAAATCTTTGCATACAACAGTTGATAAAAATTTTGAGAATAGATTTAAAAAGTTAAACTCCTTACTATCAGAAAAAATGGAATCGTACAACATCTTTAATAAGCTAGACAACAGAATAACTGTAAAAGAAATTTCAGCAGCTATTGCTTCATTGAAATATGAAAAAGCCGAAGGACTAGATCTGATATCAAATGAAATGCTGAAAAGTGGGCATACAATAATATTACCCTGTTTACTGAATATATTTAACCTATGCTTTTCTTGTGGTTATTACCCAGAGACATGGGCAAAAGGCTATATTACTCCTATATTTAAATCAAATGATCCTTGTGATCCAAATAATTACCGTGGAATAACTATAACAAGTAATCTTGGTAAACTCTTTAATAACATTTTAAATAAAAGACTAGATAACTTTTTAAATGAGAACAATTTAATACACCCTTGCCAGGTTGGATTCACAAAACATGCCAGAACGTCAGATCATTGCTTTATTGTCAAATGTTTAATCGATAAATATTGTAACACAAAAGAAGGTAGACTTTATGCCTGTTTTGTAGATTTTCATAAGGCATTTGACAGTGTTGTTCATAATGGTTTGAAACTGAAACTACTACAATATAATGTTGGAAATAAATTTTATATAATTATTAATGATATGTAGATGAAAAGTGAAGCATGTGTCAAGTATGCTGATCTCCTTACTTCCTCATTCCCTATCAAATTAGGTGTACGTCAGGGAGATAACTTGAGCCCCACTTTGTTTAAAATGTTTATAAATGATTTGCCATCATATTTACAAAGTTGTATAGACTCTGTCAAGTTACACTCAAAAAATATAGATTGTTTAATGTATGCAGATGATATAGTAGTTTTTTCATCATCACCACAAGGATTTCAGCAAAGATTAAACTCTTTAGAGATATATTGTGTTGACTGGGGTATGAAAATAAATTCTAATAAAACAAAAATTATTATTTATAATAAAGCTGTGAGAACAATTAAACATAAATTTCATTACAAAAATTTCAATATTGAATGTGTATCAAGTTATAAATACTTAGAGATCCATTTCACAGCCTCGGGGACTTTCTCAATGGCTAAACTTGAATTATACAAAAAGGGACTAAAAGCGTTCTTCAAACTACGAAAAGATTTCCTTAGATTAAATCCTGGGATATCCACCAGTCTAAATGTCTTTGATCACACAATCAAACCTAATTTACTTTATGGCTCAGAAATATGGGGAATATTTAATGTTAATAATTTAAAAATAAAGCAATCTGATGATGTAGTTGGATGTAATTTGTAATTCTAATGCAATTGTTTTGTAAAACACATTTTGACTGGCCAATGAAGTGGTGTTTGAGGCAGTTAAATGATCATTAAAGAAAGTGGAAGCTTCTAATCGTGATGTTACAATAGAGCCGCGTAAAAACACAACGCTCGATAACGTATTTTATGCAACAAAACTCAACAAAATAAGACATAAACATCAAACAAAATGTATAAAATGCATTAGAATGGGAATAAGTGTCTTCTAATTTGGTATTTGCGGCTGTAATGGTCGTAAACATCCGTTTTACCGGCTCCGCTTACATGTGCCGGTAAAACTCAGTTTGCGACTGTTAAATCTGCATTAACGGTCGCAAATACCAAATTAGAAGACAGTTATTCCCTAATTGAACAGTTTTTCAATTTTGTACAACCTATCTATTTAGCTATGAAACATTTCATTCATTTTTGTTTGATCAATAATATTAATTCTAAAAGAATAGGACCGTGTGTGTCATTAAGATCTCTCTTTTTGGCTAGAGATAACTGCCCTCAAAATCACAGCTGTAAATTGCAATCAAAACAAATCAACCCTAAAAAGAGACATTCAGTCCACGATTTGGAAGATAAGAACAATAGAGGTGGTTATTTAAATTAAAATTGCTCCACTAGCTTTAGAAAAGAATAACTTTCAATTCAACAATTATTTTATGAATAAAGTTTTGGAATTTGTATCTGAAAAAGTTACATCCAAATATTATACAGAAGTAAAAATGTTCAACATTAAAAGCAAATTTGGAAGTTCAGATTATCTACAATTGAGCATAATCTGAGGAGTTTCAGTTACTCGTTTACTCATTTAACTCATTTACTCTAAATAAGTCTCACAAGGCATGCAATTTGTGTACATGTAGGTTCTGTGTGGAGGAAACAGTGTCTAACTGATCACAGATAATTCTTGAATGTTTCGAAAATGAAAGTTATAACACCATAAAGATGCACAATTTCTAAAGTCATATTTATTTCTTGTATTGTTTGTACAGAGGCTGCATGATCTTGTACAATGGTGTTTCATACATCTATATTCATTCACAAGGATTTATAAAAATTGTATAAAATAAAAATGTAATTTGTAATTAATTAATTACTCTTTCAAAGTAAGTGTAATTTAATTAATTACGTCTTATATCTTATAAAGCATGTAATTAAATTGTAATTTAATTGAAGAAAAAGTCAAAGTAATTTTAATTATTGACCCCATCCCTGATTATGAACCCTTGAAAAAATAAAGCTAAATACCAGGGCTTTTAAAATGATTATGACATGCAACATCTACAAACAGGTGGAAAAAAGTAGGAGCTACCACATGGATGGAAATTAAGTAAATATGTTACTGAATTTTTCTAAAAAGGAATACTTAATTGATAAAATCCTGATATCAGCTGGGTAAAAGGTATAGGGTACTTGCAGATTTTTAGTGGGCTACCATTCCCACTTCCATTCAGAAAAAAAAAATCAATGTTATTTTCATAACATTTCGAAAAATATTTTGAATTGTAGTTCTCACACAATTCCTTTTTTAGGGGTGGGAGGGGGGCACAATCATATCCCATCCTACCAATTAAAAAATTCACTTGGTTGACCTGAAAAGTGTTGGTCTTTAAATTTTTCCACACAAAATTCAGTGGGTAATATTTTGAATTCATTGAATCACTTGATAGAAGCATGTATTGATAATAAGAACACTTTTCTCAAACACTTAAAATGTCTTTGTGAATAATTCAAACAATTTTTTTTAATAGAACTGACTATTGACATTGACAGAGACAAAGTTGCATACAATGTCAAGCAATGACCTTGGGAAAATGGTGATTTCCAAACAAAGCTGATGTTAATTGCAGATATATGGTTAAATATTGAAAAAAAAATATCATTTCTTATTGTTTTAATTATATAAGGCACAAGCATAATGTTTAATGATAATATGAGGCCTACTTCATTCATTTTTAATAAAGCACCTTCACAGAGTACGGAGAAACTGCTCAATTGTTTGTGTTTTTTCAATGAATCATTAACTAAAGTTTACAAAAAAATATCAAAGATGCAAGTTTTATAATTTTTATCATATTTTAAGTACTGGGGAGAAAACTAAGCTTACCACAGCAAAAACAATACACCGAAGTGCAAAGCCGCATCTTCTTACAGCCATGTTGAAGTAAGATGATTTCCGGATTTCGCGCATGCGCAAACTTTCGGGATGTTTCGATAGACCAAAAGCTGCAAAAAGTCGCTTTCCTTTCTATTTATAGTGATCAATAGAAGAGAACAATATCTATGAAAATGTACACTAACCAAATGCAGTTTATTGAACTTTCAGGTTCCTATTCAACAAATATAATCATGCCACCAAAGAGAATATCTAGCAAATCTCGGACAGTGCCAAACTCCTGCCTCTCAACAAAACAAGAGACGACGGGTATCAACAAATATGGAAGCGGTCGCGACAGCTACGCCTCTATCCCCTGATGTCCTGGAAACCATTACCAGACAAGTAACCGAGCGGGTCACTGCTACAATCAGAGAGGAGTTGACAACGCTAATAAGTAATGTGACCAGCAGCACCACAGCCACTAGTCAGGGGAGTATTAGTAATAATACTTCGGGGGCTTCTGTCAATAATGATCCAAGCATAACTAATTCTGTTATTTGTGGGTCAGAATCGACTGCCCCAAGTACACCCAATGACCAAGCTATTCAACAATTGGTTGAAGCCTTGGTAATTAACCATACTGAAAAAATAGCAGGTTAGAGTCCCAGTGGTTTTGTTAGTACAGCAGTCCCAATAGATGCTAGGGTGTCGGACCAACTCAAGTCCAAAATATGGTCAAACCAGTATGTTGACTTCATAAAACTTCTTTCAAAAGATGCGCAGAAGAAAGGTAAGTTTTCTTTACAAGTTGAGGATGGCGACAGTCCTGGTAAGTTGACAATCCAACAGGTGGAGAATGATTCATCAAATGACGCATCTGTCTCCTCCATGCATGACTGGCTTACTGCATGGAACAGATTTTCTGCAATTTATTGCATGAAGTACACTGATCAACAGGCAAAACTTGCAAAGCATTTAGAAGCAGTCAGGGAGATAGCAGATGCAAAGGGCAATTGGAAAGGGTATAATATAGACTTTAGAATGCTCGTTGCTCAGGGACAAGTTGCCTGGGGGATGTCCACATGGAGTTGTATGTCAATGCCAGACTGACAACAACCCAGACAACGAAACCAAGCAAAGGTAGTAAAGACCTACAGTATAGATCAATTCCCAAGGGTGCCTGCTTCCAATATCATTCGGGTAAACACTGTCAGGCAGGAACGTCCTGTCGTTTTCAGCATAGATGCTATAACTGTGCAGGAGCTCACCCATTTATTCACTGTACAAAACCAACTAAGCACCCCTTTCGTGTCATGCAAAAATATCAAAACCAAACAGGTTGCCCAAATAAACAGTCTACCCAAACAAAAACAAACTCTACTGCCAAGCAAGGGTCCAACTCCAATCAAAGTAAATAGACTTGCTCACTGGTTATCTGGTTATGATAAAGATGAAACTATATATTTAATTGACGGTTTTTCAAATGGGTTCTATTTAGGATTCGAAGGAGAATGTCCGGGAATAGAGTCTAAGAATTTGAATTCTGCTCTTGCAAAACCTGAAATTATTGATCAAAAAATACAAAAAGAAATTTTGGCCACTGTGGCCCTTTTCACAAAAAATCTTACGACTAAGACAAAAATTTTCCTATTCCTCAACAGGTATCTAAGTTGTAGTAGGGCCTCAAAAAATATTACATTTCTGTAAGACTAAAGTTACCTAGTAAAAGTATTTAAGAAAAAAATAAATATATGTTTTAAACAAAAAATTACATAGATGTCAAATTTTCATCTTAGTCGTAAGATTTTTTGTGAAAAGGGCCACTGTGGCCCTTTTCAAAGTAAACCAATTCCTAATTTACAATGTTCACCATTAGGTTTAGTTGAAAAGAAAGAGCCGGGTGAATATAGAATGATTCATCACTTATCATACCCATAAAACCAATCTGTCAATGATGGCATACCACCGGATGAGTCATTTGTTCAATACTCATCAATTTTAGATGCGATTCATTTTATAAAACAATGCGGGGAAGGTGCATTCTGTTGTAAAACAGACATTAAGTCGGCATTTAGAGTAATTAATCTACACCACACACAGTTTAAGTTTGTCGGGTTTAAATGGGAAAGCAAATACTATTTTGATACCTGTTTGCAGTTTGGTCTAAGTTCATCTTGTAAAATATTTGAACGATTCTCACCAGCTTTGCAATGGATTGCACAAAATAAATTGTGTATATCTTGCATTTCACATGTGTTGATGACTTTATTATTGTAAACAAATCACCGACACAGTGTGTTTACAAGCTCAAAACTTTTTTGGCTATGTGTACAGATATTGGGGTACCTATTTCACTTGAAAAAACATGTGGTTCCAAACAGGTGATAACCTATCTGGGTTATGAATTGGATTCAATTAAAATGGAATGTAGACTTCCAGAAGACAAAATTTTCAAGTGTGTCAAGAAAATTCAATTTGCTTTGGAACAAACTAAGTTAACATTAACAGAACTGCAGTCATTTATAGGCTTACTGAATTTTGCTTGTAATGTAGTATTGCCAGGCAGAGGCTTTTTAAGAAGACTAATCGATTTGACCATTGGAATCAAAAAGCACTTTTACAGAATAAGAATGACAAAAGAAGTTAAGGAGGATTTGAATGTTTGGTTGGATTTTCTTTGCCATTTCAATGGTTCTTCAATGTTTCTCCCTGATAAATGAATAAGTTCAAATGAATTAAAGTTATATACTGATGCCTCAGGTGTCATTGGATATGCTGCAGGTTTTGGTAGTCAGTGGTTTAAAGGAGAATGGAATAGTAGTTGGCAGTACCAAAACATAGCAGTCTTAGAATTGTATCCCATAGTCCTGGCAGTACAAGTCTGGCCTAAATTTATGACAAATAAGTGCATTTTGTTTAAGACTGTCAGACTGACAATCAAGCATTGGTTCATGTCATTAATAAGCAAACGTCTGATGATAAACATATCATGTTTCTTTTGCGAAAACTAGTATCGACATGCTTACAATATAACATTTATTTCAGAGCAAAGCATTTGACTTCAAAAGAAAATTTACTATGTGATTGTCTTTCTCGTTCTAAGGTAAATCAGTTCTTGCAACTGGCGCCATGGGCCGACAGAAACCCAGTCAACGTGCTCCACTTCCAAAATTTCCGAATTGACAAGTGACATCCAGAGACTCCTGATATTCCAGTCTCGCAAGCTCCTTAACAGCTTCGTACTCCCATGCATGGACAGTTTTTCAAAACTTTGCAAAGAAATATGGGTTTTTGGTTGAGCTTCCAGTTAAACAACATATATTAGTATATTATGTCGCATACCTCTTTTCGAGGGACTACGCTGCATCAACTATTACATCTTACCTCTCAGCTATTAGTTACATTCATAAGCTTAAAAATTTTGGGGATCCATGCTCATCCTTTTTAATACAAAAACTACTGTTATCAACCCGCAAACTGAAACCTTCACAAGATGTTAGGATACCTATTACCAAAAATATTTTACATCAAATATGCGACGTTTTACCATTTACAGTTTCTAATGCATTTGAATCGGCCATATTCAAAGCAATGTTTTTGTTAGCTTTCTATGGGTTTTTAAGGGTTGGAGAAATAGCATCTTACCAGAAAGTAATCAATAGGAATTTACTTCACATCAATCAGATTTGTATTGAACAAGACAAGATTATTATCAAATTTATTACATACAAACATCACATGGGTAAACCATTTTTTCTTACAATTCATTCAGCAAGTAGCAAAAACCATTGTCCAGTTCAATGCCTCAAAAGTTATAATAATTCAAGTTTAAGAGGGATACAAAATGGGTCACTGTTTTGCTATGTGCCAAATATTCCAGTTTCTAGGTGTAAATTTTCCACAATACTGAAAAACTGTCTCTCATTTGCAAACATGGACATGAGTCGAATAACAAGTCATTCTTTCCGGATAGGCATGGCATCTCATTGCGCGGATATTGGCATGAGCGACAGCTAAATAAGACTCTTAGGTCGATGGAAATCAGATGCATTTAAAAGTTACGGTTATATAAGTTTAGTTTAAGAAGTATTTTATTCATGATATACATAAATGTATATACAATGAATATGGATTGAACAGCAGGCAAAATGGCCTATATAAGTTCTCTCCATTAAAGATCAAGGTACAAATCATGAAATGTTACAATAATATATATCATAACTTTTGCAAAGACATGTATTTTAGACTAATTTTTAAGGAGGATACAATGTACAAAATTGAAAAAAGAGGGGAATTGAACAATAAGGTGGAATAATGAAAGGAAAGAGAGAGAGAGAGAGAAAAAAAAGAGAGGGTGGGGATAACGGAAAAGGGGAAGAGGCTCAGAGCCATATATGTATATGTACTTTCAGTGTACATGCTGCACATTAATGCTTATTACATTTTCACATTCTAAAATCTTTTAGTATTTTTTATAAAATTATGAACTTGATCAAATAATAACAAATTTTCTTTAAGAGATAGACAATCATAACCAGACAATACAATATTGATATCTCTTGGTATGTCATGATCAATCATATATGTGATCAAAGAGTTCCTGGCAAGATCATAACATGGGCATTGAAAGAAAAAATGAACAGAATCTTCAAAAGAATAACCACATTTTAAGCATTTAGGTGAACCAACTAAGTTATGATTAAACAAATCTGCATTAAGATTACTTGACAAGTTTCTCAACTGACAGTGGAATATATTTAATTTCCTTTGTCCGTAACTGTATAATTTTGATTTTATTTTATCATCAAGATTTTTATTTTGAATACTTTGTTTGAATTTAGCTACACTTGTTGCAGATTTCGTGCTATCTGGCAAATCATTCCATAACTTAATTGTAGATGGTAAAAAACTATTATAATATGCAACTGTTCTAGTGATTGGTATGTGATACAAATTACTATTGCGTAAAGCATAATTGTGTGAAACAGGTAGACACTGTTTAACCATATCATGCAAATATTCAGGTGTATAATTATTAAGTATTTTGTACATAAGTGTAAGCTTGTGTTTAGTTCTTCTTTCACTCAGTGTTTCCCATCCTAATTCTGTATATAAATTTTGTTTCGAAGAATTGCGCCTTAGTCCAGTAATGATACGCCCAGCCTCTACTTGTACACTTTCTAATAGATTACTCTGCTCCTGTGTACAATTATCCCACACTACATTACCATATTCTAAAATAGGTCTAATGAATGCAATATAAATTTTAATAAGGGAATCCCTGTTTAGTTTATATTTGAGTGTGCGAAGAACATTTAAACGTTGGCATGCTTTGTCATATATTTTGGAGATATGTTCGGACCAACCGCCATTGGATTGCATTATAAGTCCAAGGTGACAATGACTTTGTTTCTGTTCTATGTAGTTATGTGTGTGACCAAATGAAATTTGTGGATGTGATTTATTTGACCGTGTAAAATTAACATTTACAGTTTTATTAGGGTTAAAATCCACCATCCATTGTCTGGACCATTGTTTAATTTTTTCCAAGTCATCTATTAAAGAGATGGTAGGGGCTAATGTATCAGAGTCTACAATAACAAACAAAGAAGTATCATCTGCAAATAACCTAATTTGATTTTCTAAATTTACAGTTATGTCATTGATATATACTAAGAAGAGAAATGGTCCTAATACAGAGCCTTGTGGAACACCTGCATTTATACTTTCTCTAACTGAGGAGTACCCTTCTAATAAAACTTTTTGTTCACGATCAGTAAGATAATTTTCAATCCAGTCCAATAAATTTCCTGCAATACCATTTTGCTTAAGCTTATATAATAATCCCTTATGCCAGACCCTGTCAAATGCCTTTGATATATCACAGAATACAAATCTTACATCTTTACCCTGGTCTAAACTGCTTATAATAGTATTGTATATCTCTAGAAGTTGATTTACAGTGGAGTCTCCAGGTTGGAATCCAGACTGATTTTTAGATAGAAGATTATGCTCTAGCATATAGTTGTAAAGATATTTAAATATAATTTTTTCCATAATCTTGCAAAGAATGCTTGTTAAAGCAATTGGCCTGTAGTTTCCTGGCTCTTCAGGACTCCCTTTATTTTTATAGACTGGTGTAATATTTGAGAGTTTCCATATATGAGGAAGCTGTTTATTGGTTAATGATGCATTAAACAATTTTGCTAAGGGTGCAGTAATTGAAGGAATTATATTTTTTAGTATATGTGGAGAAATTTCATCAGGTCCAGGGGGTTTAGATGGGTTGATATTTTTTAATTGATCCTCCACATCTTGGGGTGTGATATGAATTGTGTTTATTGAATATGGTGGACCTGGCCCTTGTGGAGGTAATTGGGGTTCTGTGCTAACATCAATATGTGATATTTCTGCAAAGTGTTTATTGAGTATATTAGCTTTATCAATAGGGTGTATAAAAATTCTACCACTGGATTTTATTGGTGGGGGTTTAATATGTTTTTTAGAGAATTTAGTAATAGACTTTACAATTCGCCACCATTTCCCAGGTGGAATTGTTCTATCTAATATTTGTGAAGTAATTTTTTCTTTATAGACCTGTTTTGATTTACGTACCATACTTATTACTTCATTTCTTAAATGACGGTATTTACTCCACTGGTATTCGTTATTATTTTGTTTTGCCTTGTAATGTACTCTATTTCTTTGTCGCATCTTACATCTGATAGCACTTGTCATAAATGGTTTATCTGAAGGTCGAATGGTCACTACTTTTTTGGGTATATTTTTGTCAACATAATAGTTATATACTTTCATAAAGTTGTCATATATGTCATTAATATTATGAGTATTAAATACCTCCCTGTTCCAATCAACATTTGACAAATCTGTGCATAGTTGTGTATAGTTAGCATTTGCATAATTTCTTATGTATCTTTTATATGAATGTTGCTTGAAAGTTTTAAAATGCAGATCAACACCAACTGGACTATGTGTGCTACAAAAAGGTGTTAAGACATTTACAGTTTCTATTCTTTCAACAGCATTGGTGATAATAAGATCAATACATGTACCTTTTGATGTTGAGAAATTTGTTGGTTTTGTAACGACATTTGACAGAGAAAAATTTTTTAACATGTGTTTAAATGCATTGTTACCATCAGCTAACATATCAAAGTTAAAATCACCTAATAAAAATATTGGTATTTCAATATTCAAAGCACTTTCTATGGATAGTGCAAGCTGATTCACAAAATCTGCTTTTGCACTTGGTGGTCTATATATAACACCAACTAAAAATTTATGATTGCCATTTTCAATCTCAACCCATATAATTTCAATATTGGAGGTAAATATATCATCACGTTTCTTAAAACTAAGGTTATTTTTTACATAAAGCATGACACCACCACCGTGCCTGTTACGGTCAAGTCTAACAGGTTCCTGAAATCCATCAAGTTCAATATCGTTATCAGTAATAGAATGATCTAAATGGCTTTCAGTAATGGCAACAATATCATAATCACATAACTCATTATATATAATGTCAATTTTAGGGAGAAGGCTACAAACATTGTTATGTATAATTCTTATATTGGAGTTCAATTTAGGACCTGGATTGGTTTCAATGCCTCCTATAATAAGTAAATAATATATTACAAAATTATAATATAGGGACATACCTTTAAAAATGCCATCCCTTACACATAGTTTTCCGCATGGTTGTGGGAAATAATATAGGTAAATCTCAGTCATTTGTGTCAAAAATGAAATAGGTATGGTCAAGAAATGCCACAACCATTATAAAATTAACAACTTTCACTTTGCGTGCAATAGAACAAATGTAAACACAGAAAGTGCAGTCTACTGAGCCTTGGGAAGTAGTTAGAACCGAGTTGAAAAAAATTGGTGAAAAAAGGTAGAACATAACAAATAAAAAGTATACAATATAAATACATGTATATACAGTAAAGTTGAAAACCATATTGATGTAGTATATGGCGAATAACAATAGCTATTCAGTGTGTTAAATACATGGCCTGGTTATGTATTTCGTTAATTAGTCTGCTCTGCGTGAAACATACAAGTAACCGTGTACAAGCGCTCCAGTAACCCGGAGTGTTTTCACACGTGGAATAGTGACAGATTTGCACCAAATATGCTGCAAGGAATTTCAACGTTTA